AGCAAGACGGCAACCTGGCGCGTTCTTGCCTGGCTCGACACCAGGCTGCTCGCATGGATCTTCACCGGGAACATCTCCACGGCTGCATCGATCGGCGGGTTGGAAGTGGTGACCAAGCTGATCCTCTATTTCTTCCACGAGAGGATATGGTCACACGTCGATTACGGAATTGCGCCAGGTGCAGCTCCGCCCGCCGCGCTAGGCAAATCTCTGGAAAGCTGAGTCCCATAGTCCTGCGTGCGCTAGCGGAGTGATAACAGGTGCGTTGGGGGACGTTGGAGGAGGGTTTTTGGACAGGCGACTCGGCTCTCGGGGTGACTTGGGGCGATTGGAGCCGCGAGTGGAGCTCGCACCGGAGAGACGAGGCGCACGTAGACCCCCGGGGGGGGCGATAATTGAATTGAGGAGGACGGCGTCAATGTGTGCAACGAACTCCTCTGACGCCGCACGAGAGGAAGCGTGCAGTAGCGGACGGGAGTGTGAGACCACGAAGCCGCCCTATACCCGCCCGCTCTCCCATGAGCAAGCCGTCCGCTCTCCCATGAGCAGGAAGCACCTCCACGCGACGCCGACGCTGGCGAGGGCAGCGCTCAAGGGCGACGCGCCGTGCGCTGAGGGCTCTGCGCGAGGCGGCGGCGCGGGGACGGCGCCTGCCGAGCGGGCGTCGGCGTCGCCATGGTCGGACGCGGAGACGAGGCGCTTCTACGCCGCGCTGCGAGAGCACGGCGCAAACTACGAGCTGCTCGGCAGGGCGCTGCACCGCTCAAGCAGAGAGGTGCGAGCCGGCCACACGGCACCGTCGCGGGGGCCTCTTTCGCGCCCTGCCTCAGCTCCGCCCCTCTTTGGAACGACAGGTGCGGAGGAAGCTCAAGCTCGAGAGGAGGGCAAACCCGCGCGCGGTCGAGAGGCTGGCGGGCCACCCGATGGTGGTGCCGGAGCAGGCGAGCTCGTGACGCAGCCTCACGGATCTCTGGCTGGTGTCCTCGCACGCAGAATTTTACAACAAAACTCCCCGCGCAGAATCGCCAAAAGTCTCTCTCTTCCCAAACTTCAGGGTTGGCGGTGTCGACACGAGAGAATACGCCGGACGAGATATAATCGAGACGAGACCGAGAGGCGCCCCTGCGAAAGACTTCCGGACGCTTGAATTCTTTCACCTTCGCATCGCCAATGTTCTTCGCGTTCGTAGCCACCGCAGCCCTCTCGCCGCAGCCGCCACCTTCCCGCGCCGGACGGCGCGAGGTGCTGTTCGCCGTGGCCGCCGGCTCACTTGCCGCGCCGTCTGCTCTGCTTTCCGCCCCGCGCCAGGCCCGTGCCTCCTATGCGATGTACCAAGGTGCGCCGCCGCAGTAGTGCCACCCCGTAAGGGCACCGCGCTGATCCGAAGCCGTCTGTTCGCTGCCTGGCACCCGTCGCGAGTCTGACTGCCTCCATGCCGCGAGCGGAGCCGCCTCGACCCGTCTCTGCACCTCCAGACAACAGATTCCTCCCGCTTGATTCCGCTTGATTCCTCCCGCATCGGAACTGAAACGGACTCATCGCGCTGCCGCCTCCGCCCTCCCCCGCAGCGTCTCAGAAGAGCTTCGACGAGCGCAAGGCGGACAAGAACTGGAAGCCCGTGGCCACCTCTGATCGCGACTCGCTCGCCCAGGTGTGGCGCTCGCGGACACTTCCGAGACAGTTCCGGACAGCGACCCCATCGCCACGCGGGGCGATCGAACGCCGCCTCACCCGCCGCGAAGCACCCGCCGTCGGCCAATCACCCCGACGCTCGCCCGCCCTCGCCCCCTCGCGCTCACCCGCCCTCACCCCTAACCTAGTGCCCACCCCCCCTCACTGGCCTCGCGCCGCCGCCGCCGCCGCCGCCCTGTGACCAGATGCAGCGTGACACCTAACCCTAACCCTAAGCCTAACCCTAACCCTAACCCTAACCCTCTGTGGCCAGAGCGCGACATTGCAAAGAAGCGGCCCATATCTCCCCGTATCTCCCTCATCTCCCCCATATCTCCCCACAGATCCAGCCAATATCTCCCCGTATCTCCCTCATCTCCCCCATATCTCCCCACAGATCCAGCCAATATCTCCCCGTATCTCCCTCATCTCCCCCATATCTCCCCGCAGATCCAGCGCGACATTGCAAAGAAGCGCCCGCGCTCCGAGCTGCAGATGAAGAAGCCGCCGCAGTACTGCGCGGGCCAAATGTCGATGGCGCGCTGCACAGCCGAGAGATAGCCGCGAGACAGCCGGGAGACAGCCGAGAGACAGCCGAGAGACAGCCGAGAGACAGCCGAACATCTCCCCGCATCTCCCCATCTCCCCCACATCTCCCCCCATCTCCCCCACATCCCCCCCACATCTCCCGGAGGACGGCCCACCTGGTGCAAGGAGCTCGGCTTGCTCCCTTCGGGTGCAGGTCTCGCCCCAGATGGAGAACATGTGCGCGAACATCGGAGTCTCGAAGGCGGACCAGGCGCAGCCCCCCGCCC